TTATTAAGCCTCAATTTTTATTTGTTTGCCTCACCTTGGAAAGGCTGAATCTCTGAGCAAGGGGTGGGGGGCTGCAGCTTTTCCCCACAGCTCAAGGAAGGAACACACTGGCCATCGTCCTTTGTGGCCACAACTCAGCAAAAACTCTGAGTGCCCTCCAAATCCCGGATCTCCACACAGAGTTCCAGCCCAGTCTGCATTCCCTCTGCCGGAGCCCCCAGGTGAGTGGCTGTGGCTATTTTATTGCTCTGTCCTGGCTCTCTGGGCTTTGTAGCAGGCTTTGCCTTTATTCCCCAAGGGCGCTGCTCACAGCTAAGACTGCTGCTTTCCCTGGGCTCCCAGCCTGCCACCCTGTCGCGCCTCCACAGATCTTACCAGTGTCCCTGGTTATGTGGTCCTGTCCTGCTGCCTTTCTGTTGCTTTTTTCCTAGGATTTGTCTTTATTATAGTTGTAATTTTCGTTTGATCCTGGGAGATCATCTGAGTAGCTTCTATTCACTCTGCTTCCATTTTCACATCCTCTAAGCCTATCTTGTGCGCAACTGGGTCACACAAGTCTCTTTGTTCCCCTCACACCATGCAGGTCTCGAGGGTAACTGGATTGCACAGTTCCTGCTGGGTCGCGCATGCCTCTCTGGTGCTTTAGCACCCCACAGGCCCCATGGGTAACTAGATCATGCAGTCCCTGCTGGGTCGCACAGGCCTCTCTGGTGCTTCAGCACCCCACAGGTCCCGCAGGTAATTTGATGGCACAGACCCTGATGGGTCACTCAGGCCTCTCTGGTGCTTCAGCACCCCACGGATCTCTCGGGTGACTATATCTCACAGTCCCTGCTGGTTCACACAGGCCTCTCTGGTGCTTCAGCACCCCACAGGTCCCGCAGGTAATTTGATGGCACAGACCCTGATGGGTCACTCAGGCCTCTCTGGTGCTTCAGCACCCCACGGATCTCTCGGGTGACTATATCTCACAGTCCCTGCTGGTTCGCACAGGCCTCTCTGGTGCTTCAGCACCCCACAGGTCCCGCAGGTAATTTGATGGCACAGACCCTGATGGGTCACTCAGGCCTCTCTAGTGCATCAGCACCCCACAGGTCCTGAGGGTAACTGTTTTTTCCCCTGGCCAGTTTGGCTCAGTGGTTGGAGCCTTGGCCTGTGGACCAGATAGTCCAGGGTTCAGTTCCCGCTAGGGGAATGTACCAAAAAAGAAAGAAAGAAATAATCTGTTTTAGTATTTTTCTTTTGCAACATCACAAATGGGTTTTAAAGTTGATTAAATGAAACATATACTCATTTCTTCCCAAACATGTGCATTATACTTCCCAGATCAATCAGAGCACTGCTTTCCTCCAGCTGTAGTGATTCCATCTAACCAGCAACACTTTTGGGATTTCAGGGGTGCACACAGACACTGAACAGAAGGGAAACTAGAGCAAGAAAGGTAAATCTCAGAGAACCCAATATTGGATACAGCCATGCCAGAAGCCAGGAACTATCCCTTAATCTTTCAGTTACATAGACCCAGAAATCCTCCCTTTGGCTCAAGCTAATGTGAATTTTTAAAAATTGTTTTATCTCTTTCTTCCACTTGGAATAGAAAATGTTTGACTATTGAATTGAGGATCCATAGTTTTATTTCTTATTTAACCTATTATTGTGATCTGAAAACTTGGCTCTCCTGTACTTCAAAGGAGAAATGAGCCTATTTTCTTGCTAAAAGATTGGCTCCTTGCTGAACAAGCCACGTTATAGTAGAAGAGGAGAGAAATGTGTCTTTTGTGGGCAAGGACTAACAGGGGCAGCTGCAGGAAAGGGACAAAGAGAAGGATCACCCCATTCCAGATAGTGCTCCGAAATTTGATGCAGAAATGGGCCATATAGTGGAGAGAGAGAGAGAGAGAGAGAGAGAGGCCTATGCCTTCCAATTATTTTTAATGGCTGTGTAATATTTTACAGAATGTAGATGCCATGGTTATTTTAACCAGTGTCATACATAGGCCTTTATGTTGCTTCTAATAGTTTGGTATTATAAATAATGCTGAAATAAATATCATGATGCATTTGCTTTTGTGTAGCACATTTTGTACAAATAATAGATTTTTAGAAGGGGAATTGTTGCATCAAAAAATTAGCACTTTAAAAAATGTTTGCTACAGGGGGGGTTCAAGATAGAGGTGGGGTAGGTAGACCTTTCTTGCACCTCCTCCCAGAACCACAGTGAAAATAAAACTACATCAGGGAACATTCACCCAGCCAACTGAAAATTAGCTGAAAAGGAGAGTTTTAACAAAAAATTATAGAAACCACCTCAAGACTGGCAGGAAGGGCAGGGTTGTGAGAGGGGCTGACCCAACTCCCACCAGCAGCAGGCCAAAGGTGAGCAGGGATATCTTTTTTTTTTTTTTTTTTTTTAAATCTCACCCGAGGATTGGGAGGGAGAGAGAAACATCAGTGTGTGGGAGACACATCTATGCCCTCATGGCCCGACCAGGGCCAGGAATTAACCGTAACCAAGGTAAATGCTCTTGACTGGATTTGAACCCAGTGACTCATTCGTCCATGGACGCTCTAACCGCCGAGACAAACCAGGCGAGGAGAGATATCTTGGCTGCTGGGTGCAGAGCATTCCCTTAGAGGGACTATTTGAATAAAAATGAATGAAAATTTTCTTAATCTGATGAAGAAAATAGACATACGAGTCCAGGAAGCTCAAAGAGTCCCAAACAAGGTGAACCAAAAGAGGCCCACACCAAGACACTTCCTAATTAAAAGGTAAAGGTTAAAGATAGAGTATCTTAAGAGCAGCAAGAGAAAAGTAGTTAGTTACCTACAAGGGAGCTCTCATTAGACTGTCAGCCAGATTCTCATCAGAAAGTTTGCAGGACAGAAGGGTTTGGCAAGAATTATACAAAGTAATGAAAAGCAAGGACCTATAATCAAGTGTACTCTACACAGCAATACTATCATTTAAAATATAAGAACATATAAAGAGCTTCCCAGACAAGAAAAAGCTAAAGGAATTCATCACCACCAACCAGCATTACACAAAATGTTAAAGGGTCTTCTTTAAGAAGAAAAAGACATTGAAAATATGAATAATAAAATGGTAATAAATACACATCTATTAAAAATGGAATCTAATTGAACAAGGATAATGGTGGAAGACTTGTGGATACAAAGAACATTTTGATGGTTGCCAGATGGTTGAGGGGTGATGGGGAAATGGGTGAGAGGTGTGACGGGATTAAGAAGTAAAAATTGGGCCTGGCCAGTGTGCCTCAGTGGTTGAGCATCAACCCATGCACTACAAGGTCACCGGTTCAATTCCTGGACGGGTCACATGCCCAGGTTGTGGGCCTGATCCCCAGTGAGGGGCATGCAGGAAGCGGCCATTCGATGTTCTCTCTCATTGATGTTTCTATCTCTCTCTCCCTCTCCTTTCCTCTCTCTCTGTAGAGGTCAATAAGGAAAAAAAATTACAAAAAGAAGTACAAATTGGTAGTTGCAGAATGGTTGTGGGAATGTGAAGTGCAGCAGCATGGGGAATGTGGTCAATAATGTTGTGGTAACTACATGTGGTATCCGGTGGTTTCTGGATTTATTGGGATGATCACATGGTAAGTTATATGTCTAATAACTAGGTTTTACATCTGAAATTAATATAATATTGTATGTGAACTATATTTGAAAAATGAAAAATATAAAAAATAAATTTAAATCAAAATGAAAATTTAAAAATAACAAAATAAATCAACAACAAAAAAAGAGAAACAGACTAATAGATAGAGAAAACTAACTAATGATTACCAGATGGGTGGGAGTGTGGGACTGGGTGAAAAAGGTAAAGGGATTAAGCAGAGCAAATTGGTAGTCACATAGTCACAGGGATGTAAAATACAGCATAGAAAACATAATCAATAATTTGTAATAAGCGTGTATGGTACCAGATGTGCACTACCTTCTTGGGATATCACTTGATAAATTACATAATTGTCTAATCAATATGCAATGAAACTAATATAAAATACTATTGCAAGTCAACTGCAATTGAACAATAAATTAAATTTAAGAAAAAAAAGATTGGCCTGTCACAAGTTCCCCTTCCTAACCACCCCTTACCTCACGTCACCTAGTAACATTCAAACAAACCAATGAAGTCTTGAGCTTTTTGTTGTGTACTCAACGCTGACTCCCAGTACAATTGCTTGCCAACCAGGCCTCACTTCCTCTCTGTTCCCCACAGGCTTGGTTGAGGCCGCACCCGTGGTGTTCTACCCCATGTAACCCCTTGGCATGCAGTGCAGTCCCTCTGACTCTCTGGAAACTGTGAGTATAATCAAGGTTTTTTCTTTTTTTGTTTTTGTTTTTGTTTTTGATGTTGTTGTTGTTGTCTGTGCCTCTCCTGTATCCCTTTGTGGCTGTACCTGAGCAACCATCAAGTAAAAAACACCAAGCATACGGCTGTATGTATTACTGCAGAAATGAGGCCTGCAGTAATTCATGCCTCCTTGACTTCATTGTTATTTGGCACATATATTTATCTGGATTAGCCAATTTCCTCTCTTTCCTACAAAGACTTTGAGGATGCACCAAAACAGTATTTGCAAGGCATTCCATAAATGCTTGGTCCTGTTTTATGAAATGTTTTGCCTTCACAATTAACTAAATCTTTCACAATCTACCTGAATGTCATTGTCTAAACTCTAGTCCCTGACTGAGTACTGTGAAAATCGATGGCTTTGGTGGCATTGAGAAGGTACAGGGTGGATTTGTGTCCTTTATTGTACCAGATGTATTCCTATGAGTTTTAACAGTAAAAATTCCAGTATCAGATCACCTGGACTTCAGTGATTGTATGTATAAAGTTTTCATCAGTGAAGTGATGAGTCCTGAGAATCAACCACAAATAAACATGTTTCATTTTGTACCTTATGGGGCGACCTCTCAAGGAGAGGCTTCACATAAACTGACATGTAAATTATAAGTGTAGAGGTTTTTCACTATTTGACAAGGATGGTGATGGAACTATAATGACAACAAAATTAGGAACTGTAATGAGGTCTCTTGGGCAGAAAACCACAGAAACAGAGTTACCGGACATGAATAATGAAATGGATGCTGATGGTAATGGCACAATTGACTTCCCCAAATTTCTGACATTGATGGTGAGAATAATGAAAGACACAGACAGTGAAGAAGAAATTAGAGAAGCATTCCGTGTGTTTGATAAGGATGGTAAAGGCTATATTAGTGCAGCAGAGCTACAACATGTGATGGCAAACCTTGGAGACAAGTTACCACATGAAGATGTGGATGAAATGATCAGGGAAGCAGATTTTCATGGTGATGGTCAAGAAAACTATAAAGAATTTGTACAAATGATGACAAGAAAGTGAAGATATGTGCAGAATATGTTAAATTTCTTGTGCAAAATGGTTTATTTGACTTTTCTTTCTAGCTTATCTGTAAATGGTTTCCCCCAACTGAGGAAGAAATATGCATGTCTGGTGATTAGGACTTCATTCCTCCATGTTTTCTTCCCTTATATTACTGTCATTGTCCTGAAAGCTTGATTCAGAACATTGATCAAGTAACATGGTGCATGTGGCTTATTCACAATATATCTAAGCCCTTCTGTACCTCTAAATTTAGATGCAGTCGGTCCAACGAGGAAACATCTGGGTTATGCCTTTTTTGAAAATAGTTTTCTTTAGGAGCCGTCAGCATGTTGTTTGTTGAAGAGTGCAGTTGTAAGTGTGTGTGGATGATGGGCAGTCAACACTATGTCCTTAAAAGTTGCACTATTGCAAAATGGGTGTATTAGGTACTCATACACTATATTTTTGTAATACTGATTTTATACCAGAAGAGGTTCCTTTTATTGTTACTTGATTTTTAAACTTTGCTTAGCCACCTAAAGAAAATGCACATGTGGCACAATGTACCTCAAATCCATTCCAAATCACGGGTTTATTTTCTTTCTTTTTAAAAAAATTAATTTATTTGTTTTTGTTACAGATGTTTCTTCTTTTTCACTCACTGATTCCCTCCCCACCCTGTCACCACCTTTGTTGTCCATGTCCACTGTTCATACATACATGCATATATGTTCTGTGGTTTATCTCTCCCTCCCACCCCCTCTTCAGGGGATTTTCAGTCTGCACCCCACTTCCACGTCTCTGAGACTACCCCATTCCTCAGACTGTTATGTTCATTATATTCCACAAATAAATGAGATCATACGATACTTCACTTTCTCTGCTTGGCTTGTTTCACTTAGGATAATATTTTCCAGGTCCCTCCATGTGGTCTCAAAGGATAAGGGATCTTTATTTCTTACAGCTGCATAGTACTCCATTGTGTATATATACCACAGCTTTTTTTTATCCATTTGTCTACTGATGAACACTTGGGCTGTTTCCAGATCTTAGCTATTGTAAATAGTGCTGCGACACACATGGGGGTACATATGTTCTTTCTGCTTAGTGTTTCAGGCTTCTTTGGGTATATTCCTAGAAGTGGGATCACTGGCTCAAATGGAAATTCAATTTTTAATTTTTTTTTTTGAGGTAACACCATATTGTTTTCCACAGTGGCTGCACCAGTCTGCAGAGAGTTTGGCAGCTGGGCAGGTAAGACCTGACCCTAATTGCCTCCAGACCTTGAAACATTCGGGAATGAGTGCAAAGCTCTGTAGAGTCAACTGCAGTGTGCACAGCACCACAGCCCACCAATCAGGGTACACAACCTGGCCAGCCCTTTGAGGACTCCGACTAGTGAGGGGCCAAGGGGACCAGTGGGGTTTCTGGGAGATGAGCCACTGAAGAGGTGATTGTACGGGGAGGAGAGCTTAATTCCAGGTTCCAAAGCTCTGGCCCCACCTTTCTGGCAAACGGAAAGAAACGAAAGCTGGGATACCAATACTCATATTTGATAAAATAGATTTCAAAATGAAGGCCATAACTAGAGACAAAGAAGGCCACTACATAATATTGAAAGGATCTATCCAACAGGAAAATATAATCTTGATAACCATATATGCACCCAATATAGGAGCACCAAAATATATTAAAAATTTTCTGGAGGACTTCAAATGAGAAATCGATAGCAATACAATCATAGCAGGGGACTTCAACACCCCGCTGACATCACTGGATAAATCTTCTAGACAAAAAAATTAGCAAGGAAACAGAGACTCTAAGTGAAGCACGAGACCAAATGGATTTAATAGATCTCTACAGAGAATTACACCCCAAAACTACAGAATTCACATTCTTCTCAAGTGCACATGGGACATTCTCAAAGATAGACCACATGTTAGGGCACAAATTAAGTCTATACAAGTTCAAGAAGACTGAAATCATATCAAGCATCTTCACAGATCACAATGGCATGAAGCTAGAAATCAATTGCAACAAGAACATACAAAGGCATTTGAACACATGGAAGCTAAATAGCATGTTATTAAACAATGAATGGGTCACCGAGGAGATCAAGGAAGAAATCAAAAACTTCCTGGAAACCAATGAAAATGAAGACAAAACAACACAAAATCTATGGGATGCAGCAAAACCAGTTCTGAGAGGGAAGTTCATAGCACTACAGGCCTACCTCAAAAAACAAGAAAAATCTCTAATAGATTATCTAACCTCACAACTTAAAGAACGAGAGAGCAAACAAAAAGAAAACCCCAGAGCAAGTAGAAGGAAGGAAGTAGTAAAGATCAGAGCAGAAATAAATGACATAGAGACCAAAAGAACAATTCAAAGGATCAATGAAACAAAGAGCTGGTTTTTCGAAAAGGTAAACAAGATTGATGGACCCTTAGCTAGACTCACCAAGAAACAAAGAGAGAGAACCCAAATACACAAAATCAGAAATGAAAGAGGAGAGGTAACAACTGACACCACAGAAATACAAAAGATCGTTAACAACTACTATGAAAAATTATATGGCAACAAATTCAACAATCTAAGCGAAATGGACAAATTTCTAGAAACACATAGTCTCCCAAACTGGATCAGGAAGAGATAGAAAACTTGAACAGACCAATAACAACAGAAGAAACTGAAAGATGTAATCAAGACTCTCCCAGCAAACAAAGGCCCAGGCCCGGATGGCTTCACGGGGGAGTTTTACTGAACATTCAAAGAAGAACTAATACCCATTCTCCTCAAACTATTTCAAAAAATTCAAGAAGAAGGAAGACTTCCAAACTCGTTTTATGAAGCCAGCATAATTCTAATTCCAAAACCAGAAAAAGACACAACAAAGAAAGAAAACTACAGGCCAATATCCATGATGAACATAGATGCCAAAATCCTGAACAAAATACTAGCAAATCGGATCCAGCAGTACACCAAAAAAATTATCCACCATGACCAAGTGGGATTCATCCCAGGGATGCAAGGTTGGTACAATATTCACAAATCAATCAACGTGCTACACCACATAAATAAAATGAAGAATAAAAACCACACGATCATATCACTAGATGCCGATAAAGCCTTCGACAAAATCCAGCAGCCATTTCTGATAAAAACGCTCAGCAGTGTGGGAATAGAGGGATCATATCTAGACATAATAAAGGCCATATATGAAAGACCTACAGCCAACATCATACTCAATGGGCAAAAACTAAAAGCATTTCCCTTAAGAACAGGAACAAGGCAAGGATGCCCACTTTCGCTACTCTTATTTAACACAGTACTGGAAGTTTTAGCCACAGCAATCAGACAGGAAGAAAAAATAAAAGGGATCCAAATTGGAAAAAAGGAAGTGAAATTGTCATTATTTGCAGATGACATGATATTATACATAGAAAACCCTGAAGACTCCATCAAAAATCTACTAGACTTAATAAATGAATTTGGCAAAGTAGCAGGATACAAAATTAACATAAAAAAATTGACCACATTCTTATACACCAATGATGAACTCACACAGAGAGAAACTAAGGAAACAATCCCATTTACATTTGCGGAAAAAAATTAAGATACCTACGAATAAACTTAACCAAAGAAATAAATATTCGCAGAAAAATACAGGTCATTGATAAAAGAAATAGAGGAAGATATAAAAAAGTGGAAGCACATACCCTGTTCATGGATTGGGAGAATTAACATCATTACATTGTCCACATTACCCAAAGCAATCTATAGATTTAATGCAATCCCCATCAAAATACCAACGGCATACTTCACAGAATTAGAACAATTACTATAAAAGTTCATATGGAACCAAAAAAGGCCTCGAATAGCGACAGCAATCTTGAAAAGGAAGAAAATAGTTGGAGGGATCACATTATCAGATTTCAGGTTATACTACAAAGCCACTGTAATCAAAACAGCCTAGTACTGGCACAAGAACAGGCATATAGACCAGTGGAACAGAACAGAGAACCCAGAAATGGACCCAAGGCAATATGCTGAATTAATATTTGACAAAGGTGGCAAGAGCATACAGTGGAATAAGGACAGCCTCATTAATAAATGGTGCTGGGAAAATTGGACAGCTACTTACAGAAAAATAAAACTAGACCATCAACTTACACCCTACACAAGAATAAACTCAAAATGGATAAAAGACTTAAATGTGACTCATGAATCCATAAAAATCGTAGAAGAAACTGTAGGCAATAAATTTCAGACATCATACACAGCAGAATTTTCACTGACACATCAGCTAAGGCAATAGAAACAAAGGAGAAAATGAACACATGGGACTACATCAAACTCAAAAGCTTCTGCCCAGTGAAAGATACAATCATCAAAACGGAAAGGCTACCCACTGTATGGGAGAGCATAATTGCCAATGATATATCAGATAAGGGGTTAATTCCCAATATATATACAGTGCTCATACAAAAGGAAGACAAAGGACCCAATTAAAAAATGGGCAGACAAACTAAATAGACACCTCTCCAAACAGGACATACAAATGGCTAAGAGACATATGAAGAAATGCTCATCATCACTAATCATCCGAGAGATGCAAATTAAAACAACAATGAGGTATCACCTCACACCTGTCAGAATGGCTGCCATCAACAAATCATCAAACAACAAGTGTTGGCGAGGGTGTGGAGAAAAGGGGACTCTAGTGCACTGCTGGTGGGAATGCAGACTGGTGCAGCCACTTTGGAAAACAATAGGGTGTTACCTCAAAAAATTAAAAATTTAACTTCCATTTGACCCAGTCATCCCACTTCTAGGAATATACACTAAGAAGCCTGAAACACCAATCAGAAAGAATATGTGTACCCTCATGTTTGTAGCATCACTATTTACAATATCTAAGACATGGAAACAGCCCAAGCTTCCATCAGTAGACAAATGGATAAAAAAGCAGTGGTACATATACCCAATGGAGTACTATGCAGCTGTAAGAAAGAAAG